CTCCTTGCTTGTCGCCGCTACAGGGTGACTTTCGACTCTTTCCAGAGTCCCCCAGCAGGATGAATTCGGACGCGGAAGATGGAGCTCGCCTTCCTGCGTTTGCAGGAGCCGCGATGGCAAACCAGAAGTCCACAAATGAAGTTTTTTAAAAACCTAGCCAGAGCTAGGTTTATCTTGAGCACAATAATCAAATGTCGCAATGTTTAAATTTACTATATAAATTAAAAGCAACACAGTACAAATAATGCTGATTTTTGAAAACAAGTTATGCATATGAGATTAGATTACTATGTTATGAGTAAATCATTAAATTTTGCTTTAATTTCTGATCTAAAGGTTAGTTTCCAAGTCCTGTTATGCATTTAATCATTGTGCCACTATTTCAAGAAACATCAGTATTTAACGTTTGTTTAAAAATATTGCTTTAGCATACAAAGAAAAAAGGAGAACAATCCCAAAAGAAGAGCAAAAATATTTAATGCATGTGAGCTTCATTTTTAAACACAGAATTAAAGCTCTATCCCATGGAATAATATTGATCCATCTTTCCATTATATCAGTAATGAAGCAGTTCTGAAGTAGAGCATTAAAACATATCAATCCAGGGTGGTACTATTTTTCATTGTAGAAAAATAATAATTTTTGCTATTCTCCAGATAATTAAATTCATTGTTATTCATATAATGATAAATTCCAAATATTCACAATTGGGTAATTATGAATATAATTCAAAATCACATTGTCTCTTTAAACTATGTTCTTTCCCAAACCACTAAAATAAGTTAGTTTTACTCTATTATCCTGTTCATTTACACGAAAGGTAGTAAAATGTCAAGGTCGTATTGTTTTACATACTGGGTAGGAATTTGTAAGACCCACCGGTTAATCGTACTTTTTCCATTTAAAATAGAATTCTATTGTATAAATAGTGAAAAAGTTTAAGTGCAAACTAAAATAAATTTACACCGTAAGGTTGTGTTTATTCCAAAGTTCTTGCAAATGCAACTATGCTTTAATTTCACAGCATATGGACCGACTTAACTATAATTTCAATGGGGAAACTGACCATCCTAGACCAAGCTAAGTCCAAAAACACTAGGGAATTTCTAGAAGCCTGGCACTTGGACAAATTAGCTACCAATAGACACATAGACATAAACAATATCTACATACTATGCAAAAGAGACAATTAACAAGCCAAAAAGGGAACAAAAACTCCTCCCCACCAGCAATCATTCCTTTCATCCATGCAATGATGCTGACAGACTCTACTTACCAACAAGGAAGACAGGTGGGAATGGAATGTTGCAAGTACATTCTGGCTGAACAAGGCCAAGCTTTATGAACAAATGCATATCAAGCCAAAATTGAGGAGGCAGTAACAAACAGTAAAATATCATCTCTGCAAAGAAGCAGAGGAAACAATTAACAGTTAAACTCTACTTAGCTGCTGCAAGATCGCAGGCTGACTACAAACAACGGCATGACAAAGTAGCAGCAATGGTGCATTGGAATATCTGCAATACCATTAGCTTGCAAGCAAGATACTGGTGAAATAAACAATAGACTAATAGATATTTTTGATATTTTTTTAAGGAATGTGGGCTACCTTGGTACCAATAGAAGAGAATATTTGTAGCTCTGAATACAGAAAAGCCCCAAAATACTTTTTTTGCTTCAAATGATCCCAGAAAAACAAAATAGATTTGCAACCTTTACCTCAAAACCTCAATCCAGGGATAAATAAGGGGGGGAAAGTTAATATTTTTATAATTTGGTACCAAATATGTGAGGTGCATGATTGGCTTCCTTCTATTTATATGACAGCCTAACTCGCCAATACAAAGTAGTATTGAAAGAATTAAACAGTATTAACAAAGAATAAAAACCTACAAAAAGTATTAAGGATAAGCCCCAAAACAATAAGAACCTCTCAATGAGCATCTGATCTCCTGAAGATTTCCAGGTCTTCAATTTTTTACAAAAGGCGGATCTGTTCTTATTAGTATGATATTCCAAAGGGCAAGTGCTGTGGCAGAAAAAAATATTTTTCTGAGGATCTGTAAGATAACATTCTGTAATTGAAGGAATTGGAATATATACTTCTCCTGGTTATGGAGAGGCAGTTCCACAAAATAAATCTGACTCCATATCATAGAGAGACCGCCAGCATTTTGAATTCCACCTTTATTTATACTGGGAGCTAGTGCAACTCACGGAGCAGAAATGTAACACAGGTGTACTGAGATGCATTCATAATTCCCTGTGTTGCTGTATCCTGGATCAGCTGCAGTTTCCAGATGGTCCAAGGGCAGTCCCATGCTGAGCACATTGCAGTAATCCAGTCAGAAGGTATCTGATAAATGAGTGACCTTGAACCAGGCCTCCTGGTCCAGGAAGGGATGCAATCAATGCAACTGCCACCTGGTTTTTGAACAGGAGCTGTGAGTCAAGAAAGACCCCCAAACTGTCCACAGATTCTGTTTTGGGGTTGCGCAAACAGGTCTCATCAGCGAAATGTTCAACAGGCTCTTAAAGTACAGATCTTAAAAGTTTGGAAAGCCTGGGTTTCTGAACTGAATAGAAACAGAAATCTACACAAGAAGAAGTTTCAATTTTCAGCTTCTATTCTAGCTTCAAAAAACATTTCAAATATATTTTCCATTAACAGTGTTTAAAAACTGTATATTATTTCTATGAAATAGACCCTGTAAACAAGTTGCTTTGTTCTGAATATTTTTATTTACTTTCAACATTTTGTCACATCTGTAGCATATCTATCAGAATTTTCAATTTGAATTATTCTATTGCACATTGATTTATTACTAAAGATTTGAACTGTTTTGTCTTCAAAAAGTTGTTTCTGTTTACATAGCACACTTTTTATCTGAATCCTGCTATTTATAAAACTGTAAACCATGGTAAAGGTCTTTTAAAATGGTAATTAACACCACATAACTTTATTTCTGTTACTTTATCTTGCCTGTCAAAAATAAATTTAGCCAAACAACAGCTTTTGACTGATATTTTTGGCTCAAAAAACTTCAGAGGGGACTGAGGCTGCAAATTCAATGGATTGCCATTCCATCTGAAAGTCATTGTTATTACTGCAGTATACAAATCCATTCAAAATGCCATCTTTAATAATCTACGTTAAAATGAAACCTCTGTCAATTCTGTTAATTGTCAAAGTGGAAATTAACAGTTCTTTGGCCCAGGAGAGGTAGGGAATGAGAAAAAAAACCATTCACATATCTCTTCTGACATTAATTAGCAAGTCTACATATATTATCTATTCCCTATGACATATATTATCTATTCCCTAAAGTAAAAAAAGACATTATAGTTTCAATATTGTAGGTGATAAAGAACCAGCCCAAGATTCTTTAAGACCACTTGATCAAAGGCAGCATTGTTGTTATGAATTAAAATACAAAATAAGTTACCTTGCCATTGTATTGTCCACTTAAAAATACCAGGAATATATGTTTTGAAAGAATTCTTGTAAGGGAGGAGTGCTGTTCCAAATTACTGATAACATAATACAACTACTTTAAAAAAACACCCAAAAGTTATTTCAACTATGTAAACAATACTTGTGCTATTTAAACATTCATTTCATATTCAGAAAACAAAATGGCACACATAAATTTTGTTACACAAAATATAGCCAACAGTAATATACAGGTACACCATTTAGTATTTATTATATGCATTTTATATACATTATCTTTTTAAACAGCGGTACTTTTTGTTATGTTGTACAATCTTAAAAATTTGCTGATTCATAGTTCATAAAACAGAAAACTTACAAAACTCATCAAAACTCGCAAACTGATCAAAAAGATTTTTGTGGAAGACTAGAAAAAATACTTTATTGTCTTAATCATGCAGTTACACAAACAAAATCTTTAGTTACATTATAAACTGAAGCACATCTGAAAAAAACAAATCAAAAGCAGGAATAACAATTCAAAACACAGCCAATTTCTGACTCTTGATTCAACTACAATTTTGCATTCTATCTGAACTGCAAATAAAAACATTTTCACTCCAGAAGTTCTGAAACAACTTCTTGGAATCAACTTTAATCCAGACACTTAGCTGGGGAAAAAAAGTTTGTCTGTAACTTAAAAACTATTACATGTCCCATTTTTAGTCTATTTTAGACTGTTCAAAGAGTGCCATAATAGATATACAGGGCCCATTAACATACTACATAAAAAGAATATAAAGTTCAACAAAAAGTGAAATAAATAATAGGCCATTAGCCAGATGGGTAAACCTTGATAAATAATCTCGTAAATACAGTAAGATGTACAAAATATCACATAGTGATAGGATGTCAAGATTAATTTTAAAAGTTCATTGGAAGGGCTGGACATGTTTAATTCCTCTGTGTTCCTTTTGCACACTTTTTTTTACAGTTCTTTAGGAAACCGGTAATGCAGTGATGATGAATTAGTATCCTATTGAAAGGATGCAGCAGAGCTTTGTTAGGCAACAAAGGGAACCGTGTCGTTACAGGGCAGCAGGCCAGCAAGATCTCTGGTTTAGGATACTATAATGCAGAAAAACGTCATCCATACAATCTTGAGCACTGTTATGACAGGCTAAATATATAAAAGACATATAAAAACTAGAATTTTATCGAAATATTTTGTGCAACTAATGCTAAATATTTTAAGTTAGTTCCTTTTTCTTTAAAGCAAAATAAAAGTTCAAAAGGGGATTCTGTGGCATTTGACCGATAAACAGAAAATACTAAGAGATGCAAAGAAAGCTACTCTTGGAGCTCACTCCCCCCCACCTCACCCCCACAAGAGCACCACATTCCTAACCCTAAGGCAGCACACAGAGTCCAAAATAAACGTCTTTAATAAGATTTGATTCCACGTTCGTTTAAAGACACACCTAAGGAACAAATGCTCAGTTCGTATCCAGTCAAGGCTACAAATACTGGTTTGCTTCCCCCCCCCACCCCCCAAAATACAGTAATTACAGTTAAATGAATCAGCCCAGTATTATTCATGAGATTGCAATCTGACCAATTTATACCTGCCCCAAACACAGTCTCTGCTGAGGCTGGTTACATGTAGTGTCATCAGTAACCTTTACAGTGATGGCAGTGATGCATACCCTCTTTTTGTCCAGGCAAACCTGCTACAAAGGTGCAGGCTTGCTTTGCTGTGTCACACAAATACTTTGGCAAGAGCATCGGCACCTGCACTTGCAATGTATGCTTTTGATGGGTGAAAAGCTACATCATAAATGGATTCATCCAGCTTTTTTCTATGGGCTGTTATTTCTTGCACGCATGTTTTGCTGTCCAAGTTCCATAATCGAATAGAGCAGTCATGACCTGGATGAAGAGGTAAACAGAAGTGTTATAAATAAAACACAATGCATTATTACAAAGTCTCTTGGCAATACAGGAGCTTGTTAACTTACTTCCAGACATCAAGTAGATTCCATTAGGATCCACAGCTAAGCTTGTGACAGCATCCAAATGAGCAACCATCGAATGGATCATTTTACCTAAATATTAACGTACATAATATATATGAGGAATAAAGATTTATACTTTATTAAAGGGTAAAATAATTATATGATTGGAAGAAAAAATAAGAGTGATACAAAATTTAAACAGAATTGACATGCAACAATGATAATATCAAAAGAAAGATATTAAATCTGTAGTGAACATAACAATTAGAAAAAACTGGCACAAGGTCTTTTGCTTCAGTCTTGACTGATAAATGATTCATTCTCTAAAAATGCTGGAAATTGGGAAAAGCAACAGAAATGACTTTGAAAAAACTACCTGGCAACAACTTACAAAAGCATGTTTTTGTTTCTGTTGCTGCAGAGTTTCTTCAAGGTCATCTCAATGGCTGTCCAGAAATATAATAATTGGGATGGATAATTTATTCTCATTTGGTGGCAATGCTGCAAACCCCAACAATTCTAGTAAATGATTACCAATTCAAACAAATTCTGAAAGTTGAATTCTCTTTTCAACAGACTGAAATATTATTAAACTTCATATTGCCACAAAGTATACCAAAGTGGAAGGTGTGGTTATAGTTGCTAGGATACACTGTTCTTTTCACTGGAAATTATGTACAATCCTTTCTGTAGAACAGTATGTTAGACTGCGGACGTACAGGCAGTCCTTGAACAGCTCATTTAATGACTGTTCAAAGTTACAATGGCACTGAAAAAAGTGACTTATGACCATTTTTCACACTTATGAGCATTGCAGCATCCCCATGGCCATGTGATCTGGATGCTTGACAACTGACTCATATTTACGATGGGGTTTTGCGACTTTCTGACAAGCAGTGATCCACCTTAACAACCATGTTACTAACTTAACAACTGCAGTGATACAATTCACAGCTATGGAAAGAAAGGTTGCAAAATGGACAAAACTCACTTAACAAATGCCTCACTTAGCAACAGAAAGCCTGGGCTCAATTGTGGCCATAAGTTGAAAATTACCTATGTAATATGTTTACCATCTGAGTTGTGTAATGTCACAAATAATCTTATATTTAAAAATAAAATCTCATATTGAATTCAACAGGGATACCATTTCTATATTATAATTTTACTATACTTCTATATAGGCATAGATTGTACCTGAAGTTTGGGTTTCACCTAACATATGATTTTAAGATTTAAAATTTCTCTGTTAAATAGTGATAGAATATTTAGATGAAACAGAAATTGTAATTTCTGATTAACAATTTATTCTGTTCTATTTTGATGCCAACATTAATCTGAAATTTTAAATTAACTTAAGATATTCTAATATATAGAATCAAACAAGTTACTTTGAAATGCTTACTGAATTTGATAATATTTATACATTTCTTTCCTATTTATATTTTTTCTACTTTCTTTTTATTATGTTTTAAAATATTTAATGTATCATCTGAGAAGGCTAGAGTCTGCCAAATATGTAAGAAAAAGAAAATAATTGTTTATTAGATTACTCTATGTAATTCAGCTCTTTTTTCAACAGAATCCAGCTAGATGTTTCTCAAGTCCAGAAGCATTAAAAACCATGCTTTATCCATTAGTTTGCCCTTGAATCTGCAGCATTTAAAGGAGAGTGTTAAAGGCCTGTTAATATACTATTTATCTTATTTTGTAATGTACTAAGTTTTATTCTGATCCCTTATGAGTGCCAGGATGAAATACTTATTGGGTTGGTAAACCTGATTTCAAAATGTAATTATAGTCATTAACAGAATAATAGAAACAGGAAATAGGTAACTACTAGTAAACATTCTCTGATTCACACAAAAAGGCTTCAAAATTTAGATCCTAATGACTTCTTAATCCCTTTGAAAAAATCAGCAAATAATACTTCTAACTTGAAGCTTAAGGAAACAAGCTGAGACCAACCATTACAGTCAGATGAATATGCTCTCTTCCAATCACTGTTATGATGAAAGAACAGATCAAAGAAAGAAAAGACAAAAAAGGTAAATAGAAATGTAGAGGCTGGGGATTAGGGAAGAAAAGCAGAAGGAAAAACTGAATAATAAAGACAGAGCGAATATTCAAATAAGCCAAAATGTAAAGAAAAAGATGAAATATAAAACCTGGAAATCTCAAGAAAACTGTTTTTATTTCCTTACCCGTTTTATTGTCAAAAAACTTTATGTGTCTATCTTCATGAGCTGTTATTGTTACAGGAAGCGTAGGATGACTTACTACTCTGTTAATGTGATTGCTTGACTGCAATCCTAGGAATGAAACACAGGCAATTATTACACTTTAATTAAGTGTAAGGAATTAAGGAAGCATTAATATAGACAGCTTGTTTTAGTCTTATATTTCAAAATCATTAAACTATTACTATGTTATTAAATTAGCTAATTCTGCTAGGAAACTTCCATTGAGGATAAGGCAGAAATTTCCACAGAAGTTAAAAACTGCAATCATTATTATGAGATAAAATAATGGCAAATTTCACAATTTGACCTTCTCCCCTGATTCCTTGTTTCCTATGAATACCAGAGAATAGAAATTTCCATCCAATCTGTGGCAAAGCATTTAATTAGAAATGGCAAAACCTAGTCTGCAGCAAGCTGAAACCGTACAACTTTTAATTTCTCTTCTTGTGTACAAATAAGGGGATATAAAAGCATCAGAGCTCAAGATAAACAATGATTCATTGCAGGGGTGTCAAACTGCCGGCCTGCGGGCCGGATGCATCATGCTGAAACCACACCCACCCCATTGCCAGCAATGGAGAAAAAGTCGCGATATGTTGCAACATGTCATATGACGTTGCAAGTTTGACACCCCTGATTCATTGTAATACATTGCAGTTCATTATCCTAAATGTTTAGAACTTGAACTATTTCAATTGGTATGCAAAACAATTCTGCCAATTTGATGCAATATGCTTATAAGATTAAGTTCAAGCAAAGAAATTGAAACAAAAGAAACAAACTTACCAGAATCTGTTTGTGAGGACAGCATTACCAGTGACTGGGATGTTTCCAAATCATAGATGACAGTGTTGCCAGTGCTGAATGATGTCACCATATGGGCAGGATCACAGCCTATGAAGTCAACTGATGTGGGTATTCCATATTCTAAAGCATACAGGGAAAAAAACCCACATAGATTCTATAAAAACTATTTATTTGTTACAGTCAAATTTTTACATTTCTTCATCCAGTGTTTTCTTAGAAGTACTAATTCATAACATAATAAATCTATCTGGAAAATAATTAAAGCCTACCTACCTTTCTTTAAAACCAATTCCATTGATTGCTAGTATCTTTGCCATCCTAAAATAAATGGATAGGATACCATCTCTTCCCACACTATCTGGACCACTGTCCCAGATGTACCAAGAAGGCATCAATATATAGCCAAAGTATGTGGTAAAAAAACTTCTGTTAGAATGTTAGAATTATTACAATTATGTATTAAATTTTTGATTTTTATAATTACTATTAATCAACTTTTTAGTATATTTGATTTAATCTTCTGAACTTTTTTTTAAAAAAATAAAGACCATCTCATAACTCACCTCTATTTCCATTGTAAGTGCAAATGCAGGACACTTTTTCAGGTGGATTCCACAACCTAATACTGCCATCTGCTGAACAAGATAGTAAGTGATTCTTTATACCACTATAAGCGAGATCCCAAACAGCATCCGTGTGAGCAATTAATGTGCCCGCTAGAACATTTGGCTCTGTAGAAAAATAAAAAAAGATGTTAGTTTTTTTAAACATCTGAATATTTCTCAACTAGTATTAATTTAGCTTGTGCTACAACTAAAACCACAACTGCCAAATTTAACACTGCTAATGACATGTTAGTTCACAGCTTAATTAACTGATCTCGACTGAGATCAATCCAAAGATCATAGAAATATTGTAATTTAAATTCATATGAGCAATCATTCAGTTTATTATGCAACATATAAAGGTTATCTCAGAGAGGTTAATTATGTGACTGATACTTCACATCACAACATTTATAGATAAAGCTTACCATATGTATCATAAGGGTCCACATTAGGGCTAGGCATATTCCACCACTGAATAGTTGCATCAATACCACCACTAAAACATTGTTCTCCGTTAGAACTAATTGCCAAGGATAACACAGGTCCACTATTTAAAAACAAAGGGACTACATTACTATGAATAAAACAACAATTACAATTTTAAATTTAGAAAGTTCAGATTATCAACATTTTTAGAACATAAACATATGACTTTGCTATTGAATCTATAAGTTGTATATAAGCCATATTTAATACTATGATTAAAAGTATTAAGTCCTTCCTCTTTTCCCATTTGTAAATAAAAATATCAAATCAACAATTTTTGATGTAGAACTTGGAGAAGCTTTTGTTAGGAATATTAAAATATTAAAAATACTTACATATGGGCTCTGAATGTGTAAATAGGTTCCACATCTAATGAGGCACTCCTAAAATAAAAATGTCAAAAAACAATCTGTAAGCATTATCTTTAAGTATTTAAACTTCAGAACTTCCATGTCTTTTAACATACGTAAATATATACTTGCTTTTTGGCAGGTACTGTTTTTTGTAAGTTCCAAAGTTTTAGGGTATGATCCTCAGAGGCTGTAACCAGCACAGGCTCCACAGGATGGAAAGCTAATGCTCGCACTCCATCAAAATGGCTGCGCAATGTATATTTAGGATTCCATGTTTTTCTAAAAGCATCTTTGTTGGCTGGCAGCTAAAATAAAAATGAATAATGTTAACATAAGTAACAAAAGCATACAGCTATATAGGTAGTCCTCAACTGATGATTGTAATGGAGCCTGACCACTACAGTTGTAAGTTGTGACAGTTCTAAAATGGGTTGATCATGTGACTAATGCAATTTTACAACCTTGCACCAGTTGTTAACTGAACGTTGCGGCCATTAAGCAAACTAATGATTTGCCATGGGCACAGTTTTGCCAAAAAACAGAAATGACATTTTTTTGGCAAAACTATCATAAAATATGGTGACATGGCCTTGGGATGCTACAAATAGCCATACATTTGGCCATGTTGAGTGCTGAGGTCTGATAACATGTGTGTGTTTGGGGGGGGGCTGATCATCAGAATTTTGAATCTGTAAGTAGCCCCCCGATAGGTCCATCATAATTCGAATAGCTGCTAAATGACTGGTTATAAAACAAGGATTACCTGTTATGGCATATTGTTTGTTTTTGCTCAACTCTATCTAGAAATGTCTGTATTGCATTTAAATACAGAGAAATTACTTGAATATTTTATAAAAACTAAAACTTCAACACTGTCATGTTTCAAAATCTACCAAAAGGTTTCCAGTGGTCAAAATATGGTTTCAACTCTTAACTAAGTTTCATATTTCCCCTCAGAATTGTATTAAAAAATCAATAAAAACTTTAAAAAAAAAGAATAATCCTAAATTGCATGGATTTCTACAAGAGAAGAAATTTTGTATGTTGGAGTAGTTGAGTCAAAACTGTGATCTTAACCTAAATAAAAATGTTATGGCAAAACACTTCCAAACCAATATCCTTGAAATGAGTACATTTAGTTCCTGCTAAATTAGGTATTACCAGTTGTTAAATCTAAATCTTCACATAATTTTCCCAATGAAGATAAGTGAATGTTCATTCAATGCATTCCATAAATATGTGGTACAGTATGTTTTTTTGTGTTGACTCTCCAACCAGAAATTATCAATTTACAGGATTTAGATGAATGTATATCATAGTACTGCAACATTATTGATGGTTCTAAAGCAGTGTTTCTTAATAGTGGCAACTTCCAGGATGTGCATTTCCAACTCCTCGAATTCATATCAATAGCCATGCTAGCTGTGATGTTCTGGGATTAGAAGTCCATATAACTGGAAATTGTCACAGATGAGAAATAGCATTCTGAACATTCCCAAAGTTCTTGGTTCAGTTAAAAGATATCAGGTGTTAAACATGTTATACTTACATCATAACTGTAATCTGCATCATTTGCCACAGTCAAATCTGCAAGATCCCCAAGGCCTAGTACACTTAACAATACATCATCTGAACCCATAATAAACGACTTGCCCCCTCCAGATGGAAACGTTATAGGCTCAGCTATAAGAAACAAAACACCATTTATTAAGTGATGTAAATTAATATATGAGCTTAAAGACTTACAGTAACTAAGTATTATAAAAATATACCCAGCATAAATGCAGAATTTTTATGCTTGTCTGAATAGTTTTGCAATTTATAATTTAAGAACTATGTAACATAACATGAGATCACAAAGTGTTATGCAGAATTATTTCAATTATTATTACATAATATAAAACTATCAATTATTGCAGAAAGTCAAAGCCAATTTTAATTATTATACCTATTTGATGAAGGACTACACATAAGAAAGAATAAAACTGATTTGCTTCACCTTTTCAAAAGCATATTCTTTTCCTTTCTTGCAATGGACATATCCCCTCAACTCCCCTCTGCATCATCCTGCCCTCTCGCATCTCTTCAAAGAACCTCTTTATAAAAGACTTGGAGGAGGAGGAAGGATGCAGAAGAGATTATGGGGATCATTTGCTACCTCTTACACAATTGCTTTACAAAATAGTTTTCCCATTTCATTTTAATGAAGCAAATATTTTGCAACAATGACTCATGCCCTCATCACTATATATGTAGACTACTACAATGCAGAGAGAGAGAGAGAGAGAGAGAGAGAGAGAGAGAGAGAGAGAGAGAGAAAGAAGAGAGAGATGCTTATGTGAAATGGGCAGCCATATAAATTAAGTAAGTCAATAGATAAAAATATAGTGTTAACCAACAAAGCTCTTTATGGCTTGGCAGCAAGCTACCTAAAAGACTACATCTCCCTAACAGAAATTGGTCTAACCACTATTGTTCCCTAATTTTGGGAGGTCAAGGAAAAGTGATACTCATTAGTGTTATTGTTTGCTTGATAGAGCAAACTTGAAGTTAGATTTGTTCCTTCTGTTGCAATCTTCTGAAATATGTTGAAAGGTGTTTGAGTAATGGCAGCTCATTGTTTTGGTATTCTATGCTTTATGGATTTTACTCCTTTTCTATTATTTTTTGCATTTTTGCTTTTTATTGGGGTTTTATTGTATTTGTAAGCCAATGAGAGTGTGTTAGATTACAGAAGGTAAAAAATCCAATAAATGTTTAAACACATCATACAATATTGGAATAGTTATGTTTTAACTATAAGCAGAATTCTTCTTATAGGGAGAAGTAAGAAAGGAAATGTTCTTATTTTCTTCTCCTTTCACTACTCCAAAAACAAAGCTTTAAATACTTAAAAACTGTTTTATGGGAAAGTGGTACTCTCGGAAAGAAAATGGCAGGTGGCCTTGGAAGCTCAAAAATCAACTAAAATCCAACTTCCTCCAGTAGGGAACATCCAATGAATCCGTTAAATAAAGCACATCACTTCACCTCCCCAAAAAATAGTTTGAAAAAATGAATCACTCTTTCAAATGTAATTAATAAAGCAAAATGGTTTCAAACCATTGGAACTTTTCATATGGATTTTAAGGATGTTCTATATTTACATTTAGATATCAGGTTATTTATTTTAGAAATCTTTCATGCACACGCTTCATGCTAAGTTCAATTAGTTTTCATTGCGATTATTGTTAGATATATATGATGTAGAATGATGTAGTTTTATTTATTTATAATGATGTAAAGTCTGCATTTCTTGGTATTGGAGAGCTCACTGAAATTACAAAACAAGAAAATGACCAAAAAATTCATGCATATGCAGAGAATATATGGAAAATAAAAAAAAATCCCTTTCATTATTAGGATATATTTTGGTATTGACAAAGGAAGATAAAATTTATTTTTTATTTATTTAAAATAAACTTCAATGTGGAATGTCTGAATTTTGCACTGTGATGAAGTCATACATCCATTCCCCTATGCATCATAAGCAGATCCATACAGCTACGTTGCATATCATAAAAGTGACCACATATCTCTTTGAATAGCTTAATGACTCAAACAATGTTAATCAGGAGAAAAGGTGGTTTGACAGCAGTTCTGTGCATATGTAGGGTAGATGTTTGACTGACACATTTGAGGCCACGATTCTGCAAAGTACATCTCTTGCTGACAATAAAGGATCCAGAATGAATAAAAGTGACAGTGGACCAACAAACATCCAAAATGTTTATGTGAATGTCCATAGTTTGCTACATAAATCTAATATATCAAAGGTTTTACATTGTAATCCACTTGTTCACTTGGAAATATTTGTTTTTTTAAGGAAATGTTCTATTTTGCTGGCGGGAATATTTAGAGCACAAATTGCACTAAATATTCAAAGTTGATGAATATGTAATTATGATTAGCACTTATTTACATATTCCAAAAATATATTAGCAACTGCTAAAAATCAATTTTACTCTATATTGGTGCCGCCAGTTACTGTGAATGCAACTTTTGGGGGGGAAATCTTACACTAGAATGAATAAAACAGAAAGAAATCTCTCCTCACCAGAAAATTTATTTTATTCATTTCTTATAATTTGTTGCTCACTGTTGTTGTTTTATTAAGTTCATTTATTCTATGTATATATGCTTTTAAACTCAATTTTAAGTATCAATTTTCTATCATTCAAACCAAAAGTGGTAAATGTGAAGTGATAGACTTTTCAGAACCAAGTTGCAAGCACATCTTAATATAGGCATCTGGTTCATGGGCTATAAGTATGTGTTTTTTAAATCAAAAATTTCTAAATACAAATAAATAGGTGAATTTGTTGTACCTTCCTCTGCTCTTGCACCTTCATGATCAGTCATTCTAGAAGAGGGTGGCCTAGATTGATTAATGACTCCTGAAGGGATGTGGGGTAGCTCATCATCGCCCAGATCAGATATCATGTCGTGCAGTTTTGTCCTGTTGACCCCTGTAAATTAATGTCAGCAGCAAAGTTTCACTTTATTGCTCCCTCTTAAATTGATATCCATTTACATGCCCAGATTGCTAATTAATATTGTTTTAATGTGATGTTGTTAAAATAAAGATACTTTCATAAAATGTATTTTGCATATTTGAAAAAGAATTAAAAATGAAGCTTCAAAAAAAAAAAAAAAAAAGAATCCAGACTGGTTTTTATTAAATTGCTGTTGTTCTGCTTACGGTAAAAGAGGAGAAACGTGAATGTCTGAACTCTTTATGAAAGGCCATAAGAATGTATTTACAACCCACCCCGAGCATTTTTATTAATTGATAATACTAGACAGAAGTTTGATTACCAAAAGGGAAACAAAAATCAGGTGACTGGGAGGCAACAAACTGTCAACTTTCCCCCTTTTCTGGGTTTCTAAATAAAAAAATTAATTTATAAATATCAAAGCACACTTATTGTTTAGAACCATCATTAATAACCAAAAAGATGATCTGAAACTGTTAAAATGAGATGTAGCTCCAATGAAGGAATTAAAAAATACACAAGGTATTCTCTTATATAAAAATAAGATAGGAAATGCACTTAGCACATATTTTCTGGAATTCTTCCTTACTAATAGCTTCACTCTGAGACATATAAACAGGAAGCAAGGGGGGCTGAGAATAAGGGAATCCATAACATTCCAAACTACTGTCCAACTACCTGTTCATAGAAATGCATTGGGGGAATTAATTAATTTTGGATTTTTTCTCTCTCTACAGCTCTGGGCCAGATCCAGCCCATTTTCAAACCTAATCTTTCTTTTGCTAGCTTTTGCCTTGATGCCAACTTTTGTTTCATTCTGTTTAATTTTTAGCAAATTATTCTGATGGTAATAGTGCTGATCTACTTTACATAATTTATTTCCAACATTCTGCTGGATTGGGAAAAAAATTAAAACTGAGATACGACATAGAATTTCAATTTCATCTATTTCCGCTAAGCAGATTGGGGTGGACAGCTGTACTATCTGTATTCAATCCTAAATCTATGTTTTGTAGTCCCAGATATCCCAGACTTACACCACAGAAATCAGAAAATGGCCAAAAATGGAAATGGAGAAAAACAAATGAAATGAGATCCATCTAGGTTTAAGAAATACAGATAGGGAAACAGGAGGAAAGCAATTCTCTGATACTATGAAAGCCACATTTGTTTTTTCCTGATGTTGAAAATACATTCAAGAAGCTTTACTCATCAAAACCACTAAAATCATTATGAACAAAAACATGTTCTCTTAGCATCTCTAGATTACAGTGAGCAATGAATAATTTATCAAATTACCCAAGATGTCCAAGCAACCTATCTGTATTTCTGACGCTTGCAGTATCCCAGGATCATGTGATCACTTTTTGCGACCTTCTGACAAGTCAAGTCTATGGAAAAGCCAGATTCACTTAGCAACCATGTTACTAACTTAACTGCAGTAATTCACTTAAGAACTGTGCAAGCAAGGCCATAAAATGGGGCAAAACCCTCTTAACAGCTGCCTTGCTTAGCAACAGAAATTTTGGGCTCAATTGTTGTCATAAATCGAGGACTACCTATACAGATGAAACCCAGTTCTTTGCTGCTATCTCATCCTGAATGGGGACATGCTCTCAAAGTCCCAAACTGGTTTCTGGAGTTTGTTAAGAATCTATATGTTCAATCTAAGTCAGGAGTCTCCAACCCCCGGTCCATGGACCGGCACCGGGCCACGGCATGCCAGAAACCGGGCTGCACAAACAAGCAAAGCCCCATCCGTGGGATGCAGGCAGTACATGAAACCATGCCCCCTCCGGTCTGCAGATAAACTTCTCTCCATGGAACCGGTCCCTGGTGCCCAAAAGGTTGGGGACCTCTGTTCTATGTCCTACGAGGATAGGGTTGCTTGGTAAATTTTGGGGCAATCTTATAACAAATACTTTGGTAGTTACATTAAAGGGCTACACTCTCCTCAAAGGAATTGGTATATGAATCTGAGGTTTTTCTGGACTCATGGTTCCTACTATAAACAGGTGGTAACTACAGGCAGAACTTTTTCCCAGCTTTAGCAAGTGCACCAGTTATAATCCTCTATGCCTAAAATGCTCCAGCAATATTATCACCACCCAAGTAGTCTCCTACAATGCATTCTATGTTTGGCTGCCTTTGGAGAAGACCCAGAAGCTATATGTGGTACATAATTGCTTTTAGAGCAAACCATCAAGTACAAATAACACCTATTCTGAAATTGCTGCACTGGTTGCCAATGCACATTCAGCTTGAATTTGAAGTCCCGATTATCACCCTTAAAAGTGCAATGTCAGGGATTGGCAATACCTGGACAAAATCAAATCTGCATCCAATCATTTACACAGGTTCTATCTCAGGTCTGTCTTCTTCACAAGCTTTATGGGACATGGGCCAGGTAGTAGACGTTCTTACTGTTTACTTCTATTTTATGCAACATTCTGCCCCATAAGTAAGGATGGTCCCTCTTTTACAATTACTTCAAAAATTGCTTCAGAAAGGTCAGAACAGCATTCTTCCACAGGGCACTTGGCCCTTAGGTTAAGTTAATGGTGCCTTTAATGTACTAGATTTTTTTTACTGTTGATTTATATCAACAATAAAATATATATTTGAAACTGCCCAGAGTCGTTGGATGTAAGATAGATGAAAATAAATTTGATAAATAAATAAATATTATTTATAGAAATCTTTTATGTATTTGTCTGGTCTCTGAGTACCTGTACGTGACTTTGGGATATGAGGGAAAGAGCTGCTGCCTAGGAAACAATCAAACGAGAAAGAGAGAGAGAGAACCTCCAATGGATTAACAGTCAGAGTAAGAAACTTAGGAAAGACCTACCCTAATTGATCAAGTGATTACAAGTAACGGTGGGAGTCTGTACTTTCAGACTTGCACGATTCTGTTAATGTAACCTTACAATAAAGTAGAATTAGCTTCTCTGGTCATGTTTCATGTCTAGTTTATCCATGAAGGTGTAGAATGCTACTTGTAGACCATTAGGATTAAAGCAGGCTATAATTACTGTAAAATATTGTTTTCAATATTATCCTTCCGGCAAATACTAATTATATTACTTACTTGGATGTTCTACACTACCAAAAAATCCTTTTGGCTAAAAAATACATATAGTCTTTGACTTATGACTACAAAAGGAACTGAAAAATTTGTTAATTTGTTAAGTGGTGCAGTCATTAAGTGAGGCAACATGTGACCATATATGATTTTATTATCTTTTTGCTGCTGTTGTTAAACGACTCACCAGGATCGTTAAGAGAGATATCCCTGCCGGCTTCCCCATTGTGACCTTCTCTGCTGGCTTCCCCATTGAGTTTGCTTGTCAGAAGCCATCACAAATGGTGATCAAGTGACCCTGGAATGCTGCAACCGTCATAAATATGCAATGGCTGCCAAGCACCTGAATCACAATCACATGACCATGGGGATGCTGCAATGGTCGTAAGTGTGGGCACCAGTCGTAAATCATTTCAGCACTGTTGCAACTTTGAACTGCTGCTAAACAAATGGTTGTAAGTTGTAAGGGCTACCTATGATACATGGCACATACATACATACATATATATGTAGTTGAGATTATTTCAAGCACTAACGTAAGTACTTATGATTTCTCCAGTACTTCCACCAATTGTCAAAATAAAGGAGCTGCTCTGCTTATATAATACTGTAATGAAAAAAGCAAATAATGTTCACACTTTCTTCAGCTGCATATAAAATAATCCTTTAATTTCTTGCTATTATTAGCATGATTATGGACTTCAAAAATAATAATCCTTTAGAATTTTCAAAATTAAAACCTGTTATTCATTAGATCAATTCCATACTGCAATCTCAATAATCCTCTAACAGATGTTTGTATATGAGATAAAGGAAAAATAATATAACGGGTTAGAAACATTTCAGAAGAGGCAGAAAAGGGCCATTCAGAATAATGCAATTAGTAGTGGGTTAAACAAGTAATGCAAATTATCATGCAAAATTTAAAAAAAATGAAAAACAACTCCCAAAGCACAATTTTTTAAACATTACTAAAATACTCTCTTTCATAGTCTTTGTGTGTGCTTCTTTTACATTTACATACCTGGAAGTAAATTCTATTGATAGAATGTACATCTGAGATAGGATTAGAATGTAAACTTCAGCCCTGCAAACTGAGTATATATTTACCATTTAAGTTCTTCGTGCCTTAAACCTATTCTCTACTTCTTTTAAAGATTCTCTGTTAAGTAGCATTGTTTAACTTTTAAAACTTTGTTTAAACTCATGCTGCTCAGTCCATCCAAAACTATAGTAGCTACTTTCTAGGATGGGATAGAGCAGAAGATAAAATATTAAACTGATTACATGAGCAGAATTCTACTTACAAAACACTAGTGTAATTCAGAATTGGACACTGGAGCACGGTATCACATTGCCATAAGCAGATCACTGCAAACTAAAATCAAGAAGAAAGTAGCTACTAGCATGAAACAGCTTATGATTAACTTTTCTGTAGGCTGCAGCTCAACTATTGCAATGTCCTCTCTGTGAGGTTGCCGGGAGAAGCTTAAGCTGGCCTGGAAGCCAATCAGTGATGGATGGGCTTGCATTAGCAAGCCTATGTGATATGCTTGCTTCATGAGTGGCAGTGATTGCCAGTATGCTTCCAAGTGCAGTTGAAGATGCTGGTTATTATCTATAAAGCTCTACATAGCATAGGGCCATTATTTAAGGGGCCACCTATTTTCTGTGATTTCTGCCTGGATGATACACACCAACAGAGTGGGTATGCTCAGGTGCCCTCAACAAAGCAGTGTAATCTTTTGGGACTCAGGAAGCGCATGTTCTTTGCACAGCATCTCCTTAAGATCCCCACGGTTTCCCCCGATAGCATTACAGAGGACCTCAAAGATGTGGTTGTTCTCCCAACCTGGAGGGAGCATGAATGGAACCTTTTGGTAGATGTGCTTCGTATATGTTGCATATTTTGGGGGCCTGGTTGTCTGGATTTTTCATTATTTCTTTTATTGTATTTTTATTTTCTTTGATTGCATTTTTACCTTGTTTTTCTTATATTGTATACTATTCGGTATATGTATATTATTATATTGCAAGCTTCCAGAGTTGGGCAGCACCAAGATAGAATCAAATATATAAATAAATAATAATAATAACCCTTTTCATCTGACAAATAAGTGCTCTGCCATTGCTTGCTGTAGTATATTCTCTTCTATGAACTCTTCCTCTCTGGACTATAGTTTAAGAGTTATGTTCAGTGAAAGAGAGTGATGACATTTTATTAAATATGGTATAAATTAAGCTTTAAAATGATTCAGTCCAAAATTAAGAACTCATAAATAAATTTGTTAGCCAATAATAGGAATAACTCTTTCACCATTAACTATTTCTTTTAGAATTCCATACATTGAAGGGACATTAAGGAAAACAAAGGATCAGAGTCCTTGTAGCAATACTGCAGAGTAACAGAAGTGATTCCTCTTGCTTTTACCAAATCAATTCAAATCAAATCCATCACTCTCCTCTCCAACAAATCTCTCCTATCACTTGATTTGTTTTCCAAACAAATGTCATCTACAAAATAAACCTGCATTCCATGCAATTTTTGCAGACAGCAATAGCAGTAAGAAGTCTACAACTCTGATTTCTTGCACGTACGTAAAAGGTTAGGAAAGGAGGTAATTGATGATGACCACTGTCAGTACTATAAGATAACCTCAAACTTGCGGATTATGAAAAATACTCAGTATTAATTTTCTTCTTTTCATAACTCCTAAAAAAACAAATACAATTTTAAATGTCTGGCAACTATAGTCAGAAGCAACATTATTAGCATTTGAAAGAAATTTCCAATCATTGCTGCCATTTTCCTGGACAACTCCAAAGCAAAACAACTTGTTCACCTTCTGACATTCCTCCCTCCAATGTAAGTGAAAATAATTTATAATTTATCTTCCGAAATTATGATTTCCAGATTTATCAGACAGAAAGTTAAAGTTGGTTGCCCCCCAAATAGCAAAACTATAAAATGGAGGGGAAAGATGACAATATACATTGTTTTCCACAAGATGTCAGAAAATTGTTTCAAGATTCAGAATCTGCACTTACTCTTTACCCCTTTCTTCCCCTTTCGTTCCTTCTTGTACTGTTCCTTCAGTTTACTTATTAGTCCCTGGTCTACATCCCAAACCTCAGCAGTTGGGGACAGGTCATCTTTGTCTACATGCAACATATTATTAAAAGAAAAATAAATCAACAATTGGGAATGCAAACTATTTGTGAGCGTTACAGGTTAATCAATAAAAAGTGTTATTCAAAAACATTCCAGTATTTTAAAGGTGCAGTTTCTTGTACCATTTGGTATAATGCTTCAAACTGTCATTTTATGGTAATTGGTCTAGAATAAAGAAGAAATTTGAATGTCTTTCATATTCAATTATATGAAATTAATTGATTAAAACTAATGTATGTAATTACTGCAACTTTAGTAAGACATTATTAACAAATTATTCAGGCAGACTTAAATAAGCAAATAAATTTATTTCATGCAATACCTTTTAGGAAGTGCAAACTGAATTCTGAAATCATGCATTTTCCCTCTATTCTTATTCTCCATGCAATGATATCTAGTAGCTCCAAAATAAATCCAGCAATAAAGGCAATAGAAAGTTTTCTTCTATTAAGATTATTAAAATATTAATACCACATGGATAGTTTGGCATATTATAGGACGTCTTCAAACTTTATTTACTGAACTCTTCTTTTTATTCACCACAACCCAACCAGCCATAGCAAATGTAGGATGACAAGAGAATGATGGTTGAAACAGACTTGTGTAAATCCATAATCAATGCTTGAATGTTTGTCCCTTTAAGCCCAGAAAAGTAATGTATTTTACTTGGAAGTCTCATTGGGAAAAGAATAAGAGTTTTGGATTTTCCTCGATTATTTTCAAAACTGAAGCTAGCTTCAATAATTTTATTTTAAAATGAAGTACATTTCTACCTGCTAACAAGCATGAGCTAATGGAGAAGAATAAGATGAAAGCTTTAATTTTGTCTTAGCTTACTTGGGACTAAGTTTACTGAACTCAGCACTGCTTACTTCTAACCACAATAAAATTAGAATACTACTAATAAAATATTTTGAAAAAGAAATTTCGCAGCTAAGACTTTTTGAATGTAATGAATAAATGAGATGATTAAAATATTTCCTAAATGGTCACGGCTTTGTTCATGTTATGTCCTTATTAACAAGATGGTTCACACTTTCAAATTAATAATTCTTGCATCCATTATGTTAGTTCTAGAAAAATAAAACTTTCTTTGAGATAGAACTTCAAACAAAAAAGCATTATTGCCTCTTCACTGCTACTGTCTGCCTTCTAAGATAAATTAGAAATACACTCCTAATGTCACTTAAGGAAGGAAAATATGACCTCAATTTCAAAATTCTTGTCTAATAACACTATGCTATACTTATGACATTACATGTACTTTTATATTCCCCTTTTCTTGACAGCTTAGTGGATTAAACTACTAACAACAAAAATCTACAAGGAGGCAAAATACACAAACTTTTGAAATCAGTTATTTTCAACTTTTTAACCTTTTTTATGTATACTATTAATTATGGAATGGGAAAATTGTTTAATGTATAAGTCACAACTTTGCAAATATAACTGAATGAGTCTCTACTCAATAGGTAAGAACTCTTTTCTAGTAAGAAAATATAAGTTCACTGAAATCTTTCTTACCTATCTCTCATGAACCAGAAGGCCAATTTCATTAGCTAAGAGGAAGTTATCAACTTGTACAATTGTGAATAATAATAATATGAATATCAACTATGCTAATGTGTTGATTCATACATGCACAGAAGAGATGGTGTGAAATAGTAACAAATTCAATGGTCTATATAACATTAAGGGAATTTAGTAGACGGAGAACTTCCCAACATCTTTAACTGTTGCAGTTTCTAGCCTTTTCTTAATTCAGATAGGGTACAGCAAGAACATAAGAGTGGGGAAGTCCTCTTCCACTTATCCCTTACATAAGTACTTTTCTGGATGTAATTCAAAGTATTCAATTTAAATATAAAATGTTGTATCAGAAGAAAAGGCAGATCATTGCTAAAATTGTATACTTTAAAACATACATCTACATCTAACATCAATCCTACTTCCTGCTACTTTTCCATCTATCTTACACTTTTACAGAGGATCCTGTACCCTGCACATCAGTAGTATATTCTATATAGAACAAAAAGTTTAAATCCAATAAGTCTCTGCAATTTTTGTATTTCAAATTATATACTGTATTTCCTATCTTGTTTCAAGACATCCTCTGAATAATATCTAGAACTGGAATCTTAAAAATAAGTGAGTAAAATAATGTTAATATATTTGTTATTTTCGTTCTTGCCTCTTTTGAAAACAACTTGGAGGTTAATAAAAACATATAATATGGATTTGAAAAAAATAAAAATATAGCCATTTCCTGTTGCTTTACAAATACGGGAACCCACAATCCATTGCAGAAAAAGAAATTTACATTAAAAAGCATTTTTGCACACAACTGAGCTCCACTGACAACACAGTAAAGCTTTGGAAAGGGCATGAAAAACAGAACCTCGTGTTGTTAACAAGTAATCAAAAATTTAATCTTTCAATTGAATGCTAGGCAACCTTCTGAGTGTTGCAAAAAACAGTGAAGGATATTTTTGTTAGTGGTGATCTACAGAATGAGTAAATTTGTTTAATTTATAGAAAACACAATACCTTAGCAAGATCCATCAATTTCAGTGGAAATTCAAGGTAAGCATGCATTACTAATTTTTTCCCCTAAGAATTATTTTCCATGCTGACATGTAACACGTAATGCCCTATATTCTGTGCCAATATGTATGTCTAAAATAACTGACTGCCAGTGTTATTAATTAAGGAGTGCATTAAAAACACTGTCTTATTTCATAACTTTGTTTTAAACAGAGCAATTCTAAGATATACAAAACAAACTGCTTAAAAATATCAAAATGATTTGACGAATGTATGATTTACTTCTGCAGGAAGAATAAAAAAATGAAAAAATAAAACGATAACCATCAAGCAAGATTTAAATACCTAAAGGTATCACAGAGAAGAGAATACAAAATTAAATTAATATAACTGAAATGTATATATATTTATACATCTTTCAAATTCTTTAGCTTTCCTACCGTTTTTTATGTTTCTTACCCCATTCTGTCCCATCCCCTGAACTCCGTGCTTCTCCTGCTCCCTCTCCATCTTCTGCTGTTACTAAGAAATCAAATTCTTTCAAAGCTTCTTCTGTGTCTGGATCATCAGTAAGGTCAGCAGCTAGTCCTTCATTTCCAATCTACAAGTCAGTTTTGACAGAAACACCATTAAAGATACTATCATTCATGGGGCAGTTTGATGTAATCTTCTCCTCCCCTTTCTCAGGATGGCCAAAAGATATGTTATTCTGTTTATTTTTTTTTTATCCATCATGCACAAACAGTCCCATTAACATGACTATGGTAGGTAAAAATTATGCTGCAGTACAAAATTGGCAGCCAGATAGATATACTTAGAATTAAATATTTATCAACACCATTTCTCCATTCATAATGCCTATGCAAAGTATTGATAACAAAAATACCAACAATATCAAGGTGCTCAATTTATCTATTTCATGAATGGCATTTTATTGTAATGGTTCTCTATACAAAAAGACAAAAAGGAATAACAGAATCTTTAAATTAACAGTAGCTAATAAAACTTTTGGGTCTTTTTACTTTGTGCTTTTTATTCATCCGATGTTTTTCTTTTCCTTCTGTAATATCTTCTATAATATCATTCTCTTCCTCTTCGTCACTATCATCTGCATTTTCCAAAAAATTAAATGTTTCAAGAACATCACTGGGGTTCCTACAAAAAGAAAATAGCGTACAATATCAGAAATAACTGTGGTCTAAAGAAATCTCAATATACATTTTATTCAAATAGGCATAAATCATGGTCTAGAATCAATATGATATGGGTATCTGCTGAACTAAGAATGAACATACAAGAGATTGAGATAGAAACTAATGTATGGGCGGATCACAATCCAATAAAGATGACATGGAGAGAAACAAAGAAAAAATTAAGATGGACATTGAATCAATCTCTATTGAAAGAGAAAGAATGTATACAAAATGTAGCAAAGGAAATGGAATTTTTCTTTAAAGAAAATAAGAAAGAAGATACATCACTCCAAAAGGTTTGGGACACAGCCAAAGCATATTTTAGAGGATTAACCATAAGTTATATGGCAAAAAAGAACAAGGGAAAAAAACAAGAACAAATGAAGCTAAAGAAAGAACTGACGCAATTAGAATTAGAACTACAAAGAGACCCACAAAAGAAGACGCTTAAAAAACAAATAGAGATTAAATTTAAATTTAATAGAAGCTAAAGAAATAGCTCAACAAATCAAAAAAGCAAAACAAAACTTTTTTGAAAAGGCTACTAAGCGGGGTAGATGGTTAACCTATAAACTGAAAAAAGAGAAAAAACAGATAAATAAACTGCAAGATATGGGAGGCGATTTACAATGTCAAAATGATAGCCCAAATGGGCTACCTGCAGAATTTTATAAAAGCCTACAAGATATACTAAGCCCATTAATGCAAGAAGTATGTAATGAAATATTAGTAAAGGCCAAACTACCGAATACATGGACAGAAGCCAATACTACTTTAATACCAAAAGAAAATTCAGATTTGACTCATAAAGATAAAGAATTATAGACCAATCTCTTTATTAAATGTGGATTACAATTTTTTTGCTTCAATAATAGCAGAAAGACTAAAGAGATTTTTGATTGAATTTATACATCCAGACCAAAATGGAGTCTTACCAAAAAGACAAATAAAGAACAACCTAAGAATGATTTTAGATACTTTGGAATATTACGAAATGCATCCAGGGAAACAAATGGTATTAATTTTCTTAGATGCACAGAAAGCTTTTGATAATGCCAACTGGCAATTTATGGTACAATTAAACTATATAGACTTTGGAGAAAATTTTATAAATATAATCAAAACAATTTACCATAGACAAATGGCTAAAGTAATTGTAAATGGAGATTTTACAGAGAATTTTAATATTAAAAAAGGCACAAGACAAGGGTGTCCATTATCTCCATTATTATTTATTTTAACTCTGAAAGTGCTGAATAGAAATGTTAGACAGGACCCAAAAATTAAAGGTATGGAGATAAAAGATGAAAAATATAAATTACAATATAAATTAGAAGACCCCTTGGAGACAAGTCCTAAATTATTGATAAAGATTCAAGAATTTGGAGAAGTAACAGGATTGAAAATAAACAGAGATAAGACTAAAGTGATAGTCAAAAACCTTACAGATAAACAAAAAAACCAACTGTCAGAAAAAACAGATCTCCAGATAGTTAAGAAAGCTAAATACCTGGGGATATATTTAACAGCAAGGTGTGCGACATTAAAAGAAGATAATTATCTTAAACTATTAAAACAAATAAAATTAGATTTGGAAAGACAGAAAAAAATTACAATTACAATGTTGGGAAGAATAGCGATGGTGAAAATGAATATCTTACCAAAACTACTTTTCCTATTCCAAACAATACCTATAAAATTAGAGAATTTTTTTTTGATGAGGTAAATCAGGGGTCTGCAACCTTAAACACTCAAAGAGCCACTTGGACCTGTTTCCCAGAGAAAAGAAAACACTGGGAGCCGCAAAACTTGTGCGCGCATGCACGCGTGTGCACAAGGGGAAAGGTAGCTTGATTGAAGAGTTTAATTAAAAAGAAATAGAGACTGCTGTGCATGAGTTCTCTCTCTCTCTCCCTCTCTTTCCTCTCCCTCTCTCCTCCCCCCTTTCTCTCTCTCTCTCCCCGTCTTTCTTTTTCTCTCTCTGTCCCTCTGTCTCTTTCCTCTCTCTCTCTCTCTCTCCCCCCCTCTCCGATCTTCTGCTCACCTGGCAAGCTGGCTTCAAGCTGTTCTTCAACAAGCTGACACACATTCTTATTTACCTGGCTCTCTCCTGCCCTTCCTGCAGAGACACAGCTAAGGGAGGGGCCCCGCCCAATAAGCTTTTCAGCTCATCAGAGAACAGGGTGAGGCCACTCTCTTTTTTACACACACACACACACA